GTAGCACTTATCACTACCTAACCTCATCTTATCTGCTTATCTATCTATTTGTTTCTCTCCATTTTGTTCACTGGGAACAGCATCTGGCACACGGCAGGCGTTCAAATACTTGTTGAATGAACAAGGCTCGGGGAGGCTGTCACGACATCACAGAGTGAGAGTGGCAAGGCTGTAATTTGAACCCCATTCTTACTGGCTCCAAACTTCATGCTCTTCACCCTCTACCCCCAAGCCCCCCTCTGTATCTTGCAGGTAGGTCTTCCTTCCTGCCACAGACTTCCTCTTTCAAGATTCCCTTTTGCAATGACCTTGGCCAATGCCCTGTAGAGGGAAATAGCACCGTAGGAACAACCATAAAGTGAGCTGAAGGATGCCGAGGAGGGATGGCTTACAGGACGGATGGGCATGTCACTTCTTTCTCTTGGATAGCATAGACCGTCTATCTTGATCCTTGGAGTGGCAAGGTCTACAATTCTTGGAGTTGTGACAGCATTCAGGGCAGAAGGTAAAATCTTGGTTTCAACCTAGAGGAGAAAAATAAAACAGTACCTATAAGTGTCAAATAATAAACGCACACCATCTCAATCAAGGTTACAGATTAGGTCTGACCTCTGGGCCAGACTTCTCAGCAAATCCAGCAGAAAGAAAGAGAGACTTGCAGTAACCCACACTCATAGCTGAAGGATCAGTTCCCATCTTTCTCAAACTAGGTTGTATGGATTCCAACTCAACTTTTCAGGAACTTACTGTTAAACTAAAGATGGGGAGGAAATGGCAGTGTTGTACATTGCCTAAGAAATAAAGGATCATGCTGATTAATGGAGTGATAAACTCAGCCAAGAGGGAAGACCCAGCCCTACCAACTATGAGGGGCAGAGTTCTACTTTGTTCTTAACTATTTTTGCCCTTTGGAAATTGGGACTCACACTATCACAAATGCTTCAAGTAAATTTTAGTGGCTCTCTTCTCAGTCGAACAGATACAAAAAAGAAACCAAAGCCAGAAGGAAAAACGCAGAACCATATATCTCCATAGAGAATGTTGTTTTGGTCCCCCAAGTCACTTCTCACTATCTTAATTGTGGAAATATGTTCAAATTCATGGTCTTTTATTTAAATTACTTATATTTGAACTCAAAATTTACCACAAGACTTTGAGGAGGAATATAATCTTTAACTGGAAATAATATACAGTTTTAACTGTGGGTGGAAAAATAATAGGAAGGTATGCTCCTACTCCCTTCTTGTGTTGTTTAAGATGTGATGATGATGATATTAACACTGACAGCATTCTACATGTATTAATTCATTTATTCCTCACTTGGGGTATCATTTTTATTTCATTTCGCTACTGGAAAAACCAAGGCACTTTGAAGTTCAGCAGTTTAAGTTTTTATAGTTAGTAAGTGGCAGAGCTGGGATTCAAACCGAAGATCCTATCTGTCAGTACAACACCATGAAGTACTAATTAAGCATCTTAAATATTTCCTATGAATTAAGCTTTGTCTCCTATCAGGCTCTGGGAAAATCAGAGAAATATACGACAACCATTGCCTTCAATTAAGGCTTACAATTGAAAAGGAAATAAAACAATCATTTATTAATTCAATTCATTAGACAAATATCTCTCTTTTTAAAAAAATATATCTTTATTGACTTCAGAGAGAGGAAAGGAGAGGGAGAGAGAGAGAGAAACATCAGTGATGAGTCACTGAGCGGATGCCTCCTGCACGCCCCCTACTGGGGATCACGTCCGAAACCCAGACATGTGCCCTGACTGGGAATCGAACCCCGATCACCTGGATCCCAGGTCGACGCTCAACCGCTGAGCCACGCCCGGCCGGGCATAGACAAATATCTCTTAATCAATTATATTATATGAGACAAAACAAATAATAATAAAACAATCCCTTTCCTTAAGGTAATTTTCAACTTAGGAGAGACCATAGTCCTACAGGCAAATCATTTGATACCCGGAAAAGAGAATAAATAAAGCTTTGAGAGATATCAGAGGAAGAGTGGGAGAACCCAAGAAAGATTCACTTTTTAGGGATAAAGAAACATTAGATTGGACTTTGAAGGAAGGATCAGATTTCGACAAGTAGAGAGGAGGGTACAGAAAGGATCATGCAACCATCAGTCCATTCTCTGTATCTATGAGTCTATTTCTGTTGAGACATTTTTATTATAAAATTATTGTGTCTGATAAATATTACCTAGTGTTGGCAAGAGTACAGTGAGAAGAGCAGCCCAAATAATGTAAGTGATAGGTCAATCAAAATCACTTTTGTTGGGACACAGTTTGGGATTTTATATGAATCTCCTCAAAAACGTTCACACATTTAATGCAATAACTTTACTTCTAGAATTTTTATTCTCAGAAAATAATCAGAGACGGAGAATGATGGGGGAGAGACATGTTTGTAGAATGATCTCATAGTTTAGAACAGCAAGTCAGACAAAGCTATGATATTTCCAGAGAACACGTGGGTAATACTCAAAGGTGTGTGCTAGATAAAAAAATAAGTCTAAATCTATCAAGAGTCAAAGATTTAAAAAATCCGAACAGGTTGATTGGTCTAAGTAGGAGCTTCTGACTTCTGGAAGTAGAGAGTAAGTGAGCTATGAAAGCAACCCCTTTTCTAAGTCTTGAGTCCTGACAAAGTTACTATAAAAAGAGACTTGGTATGACATTTATGGAGGTAAAAGGACTCCTTACAGTTCTTCCCTCAAAAGCCTGGTGGCAAGTAACCTCAGGTGCCTGCGATAGTAACATGGCTTCCTGGGTGGGCCTGTATTATATTTGTAAACTCCGCGAAGATTTAGAACTAACTGTAAAAAAGCTAACAATCAAAATCATAGGATTAATACTTGTGTTAAGAATAAGTATGTCCAAGAATTGATGAAATTGGAACATGGACCATGAAGTATGTATAGTATTATTTCAATGTTAAGTTTTCTGACTTTTGATGTTAGTACAGTGGTGCCCCGGTTTTCGAATGTGATCTGTTCCGGAGCCCGCTCGAGCCCTGAAACGTTCGCAAACCGAGGGACCCACAGCCGGCAGCCGGGCCTCAGGACCCTGCCCTCAGCGGGAGCCGCGGGCATGTTCGGCTTCCGAGGCGGGTTCGAGAACCGAAGCATTTCCCCCGGGTTCACGGCGCTCGTCACCCGAAATGCTCGTCACCGGAGATGGTTAAAAACCGAGGCACGGCTGTATTATAGTTATATAAGATAATGTCCTTGTGCCACGTCCTCTCCCAACCGTGTCGTCTGACAAGGTCCGGACGTGGAGAGGAAGCTTCACGGAAGGCGCCTTCTGGGGAGAGGACGCGGCCTGTGGGTGGGAGGAACTGGCTTAATGGCAATATCCCTTCTCCTCCTCGGAGGGGGATTTGNTTATGTTTCGAAAGCCATTTAAAAATTTTAAAGCGTTTTCTCCCAGTCGGCAGAACTGTATATTGGTACACAATGTGGGAAATATATACCGGTTTGGGGGTAAATGGCTTAGAGCTAATGTTTAGCACTTTATAGCCGCTGTGTTGCTAGGTTCTGCTCGAATTTATTTGGAGTTTGGAGGAACCTGGAGCAGTTTCTAGAAGCTACTTCCTTTCAAAGTAATGAGGGTGGGGAAGGGGGGTGACGACAAAACCAATGTTTCTCTTTTGGACGTGGGATGGGAAGTAGAATGAAAGGTTGCTAATGGTAGCGTCTCCTCCAGCCAACTCTTCTGTCGCCCTAGAGGGGCTCTGGGCCCTCAGCCTCGTAACCCTGTATCACCGACTCGCTACATTTTAAGAGAGCCCATCATTTCCAGTCACCAGCCTGGGAATTAGATGTCTCCGTTTTCTGTTGGCATCAGTCTCGAGGAGAAAGGCATGGCTGCGATGTGTCATAGCCCTAGCTAGTTTATGAAAGCACGGGCTCTCCTCACCCTTCAAAGAAGGGACAGAACCTGTACAATTCCTACTTTTCTCTGGAAGCACCAGTTGCCGCGTCCTCTCCCAACCGTGTCGTCTGACAAAACCCGGACGTGGAGAGGAAGCTTCAAGGACGGCGTCGTCTGGGGAGAGGACATGGCCTGTGGGTGGGAGGAACTGGCGTAATGGGAATATCTCCTCTCCTCCTTGGAGGGGGATTTTGGGCCATAAATCAATAACTAACCTGGGAAGGGTAAACAGTGTTCTCACTTCTGAAGAAACCCCGATTTCCCCAAGTCCAGTCACTATCACATGTCCGGATGCTTTAACAAATTGTCATTAGAAGAAGCTAGGAAAACTCCCCTTGGCGCCCCAATAAGGAATCTATGGAGGAACTAGAGAAAGCTGAGCTCACACAGCCGCCGATCCTCCAGTGCCCCGCCTATGACTGCAAGGTTGGTCAAGGACAGGAAAAAGGCCATCGCCCCTCGCCTACTGCACAGGGACCACCCTGGGTAGCACATAGAATACATGGCAGATTGTGGCATCCCCCTAACGGGGCTAATACTATGAAAAGGCCAGCAGGCCCTCCTCTGCCTTACACAGGTGCTTCCAATGAGAGCGGTATCAGAGCAGTTACTGTAAACGGAAGGCACGGTCAGTGTGAGAACCTGCCCTCCAGGAAACGCTCGGCAAGGCGGCGGCCACGCCGGTGCTCGCTCCCAAAGAAACAAAAGGAAAGCATTCTTAAGCAGTTAATCCATAGCTATGGCAAAAAGCACTCTTTTCCTAGAAGAAAATGGCAAGAAGAATATAATAGCTTATGAATAGGTCCATAGTTAAAATATAACCACAAGAAGTAGTAACCACAGGCAAATATTATATAAAATTTCTGTCTCACAAGCTAATATATTACTGCTGCAAACAAAGCCGCATCTATCACTCTATAGGTCACTGATTTTTCCTTTCTCCTCTATTCTAAAAATTAAAAGTCAAAATTGTTCCGTTCTGATGAAATCGAAACTTGTATTGTTTAACCTATGAATAATATTTCTTGCTTGCTAACCGAAAAAATGGAATCGTAGCCAAAAAAGAAAGTATAAAAGATTATGTTGATTCTCAATAAAGTGGAACAGTGTCACACCACCTCCGAGGCGTGTAGTCTGCTGTCTCCCAGCGTCGACACCTTGCCCACCTTCGGGACCCCTGACTCCTGCTGCGGCTGGACCGCGGCATTCTTGTTCTTGGTGAAACCAAATTTATGAGTTTCATGTATTAGATTTTTAAATAATTAAATGATATTTGAGAAGGTTTTGTTTGCTAATGGAGATGGTTGAAGTAAAATACTTAAAAAAGAAATCAAATTTAATGTATTTATAAAGTATTTGAAGGTATTTAATTTGTTTGAAACCAAATCAAACATTCAGGACTCTTAAAAGTCATTGTTAAAAACTGCTAGAATTATAAACAGACTAATAAAACATCTAAACTAAACTTAAATGTATAGCCTAAGAAAGAAATAAGATTTTTTTAATTTACAATTTTTAAAAAATTAACTATTAATTATTTAAATCAAGAGCATACTTCTGAACAGCCTTTTCTGCATACACAAACCATGCTCAAGGATAACAAAGGACTCACATCACTGGGTGTGGCAGTTTTCTCTCTCAAGACTGTAAATTCCTTCCCACTTCTCTCATTGAAAGGTGGGGTTTGTGTCCCTGCCCCCTTGAATTGGGCCAGACTTGTAACTGCATCAATCAACAGAGTCTGGCTGCAGGGGCATGAAGTGATTTCCAAGGCCAAAACATAAAAAAGCGTGCAACTTCCACCTGGTTCTTTTGGAATGCTCACCCTTGGGAACTCCAATTTAGGATATTCCTTCTCAGAATATGGCTGCTATGCTGAGAGAGGTCTGAGCCGCATGGAGGGCCCACATGAAGGTGCTCTTGTAAATATTCCCAGCCGAGTCTAGCCTTCGAATCACCCCCTCCTCGGTCCACAAGTAGGTGTTCTTATGGACTAAATATGTATGCCCTCCCCTCCCCCCAATTCGGTTGCAACCTTACCCCCTAATGTGATGGTTCCGGGGGTGGGGCCTTTAGGAGATAATTAGGCTTAGATAAGGTCAGGAAGGTGGAGCCCTCCTAATGGGTTTAGTGTCCTTATAAGAGGAAGAAGAGAGGACAGAACTCTCTGCATGTTCACAAAGCAGGCGGTGCTGCCTACAATTGGGGGGCTCTTTAAGATGAGAATCCATTGGCACCTGGATGGTGGATTTCGCAGCCTCCAGAACTGTTGCCGAAGCACCCAGTCTATGGTATTTTTTTAGAGCAGCCTGAGATGGGTGAGACAGATGTGAAGGAGCCTCCAGGTGACTCCAGCCTCCTGCCATTTCAGGCGCTTAAGCCATTAGAAATATCCCAGCTGAGTTCCCAGACATCACGGAGCAGAGGTGAGCCTGCTTGCCCTGTCAGAACTTCTGACTCACAAAGTCAGAAGCATAATAAAATGGGGGTTGTTTTATGTCACTAAGTTTGGGGGTTGTTTTGTACAAAGCAACAGATAACAAGATGAGAACTTTAAGGATGGATTCTCTGTATTGGTTTTAGATGACCTGGAATTTGGTTCCTGAGCTGATTATATTTAAAGGTATTAATAATCCTCTTGCCAGTGATTAAAAAGAAAAAAAAAAGACACTGGTAGTCTATGGCATGTGGTGGCAAAACAGAAAGCAAGACTCTGGGTGACCAAGCAGCAGAGACCATTTCAGTAACTGGCCTCTAACTACACTTGAGGAAAGAAATGACCAGCTGAAGGCTTTAAATTCCCACCTTAAGGTGTGGGTACGGAACCAGAAAGTTTTTGTGGCCTATTTAATAGAAACGCTTATCTTCTGAAAACCAAACTCAAAATCTAATTCTGCACATGGGTGAATTACAGCGTAAATTGAATTCCCAAACTTGTACGGTCTCCTACACTAAAGTTCGGGCCATGATCAGGAAAAAATGGGACCTTGAAAATTGGAAGAGGGACTTATGTGCAGATTCCAGTGAGGCTGGGGACTTTAAACCCCTAAATACCTCTGAGCCTTCCTTACCAATAGAATCAGCCCTTCCTCCCCTGCCCAAGAAGGCCGGACTCCCCTTGCTTGAGGAGATGGCAATGGCTTCACCTGAAGTAAATACCTCCCAGGGAACTGCTGACCTCCCCCCACTGTCTCTCATTGCTTCTAGCCCTATAATCAGACCCAAGTTCCAGGTGCCGTCACAGCCTTTTGTAGGCTTGTCCATCAGCTCCCACAGTTGCTGAAGGTCTAACTCTGTATTACTCATAGTGGTTCTGCTTCTCTGATCAAGTCCTGACTGACCCATGGGAACAGGGGAGGCAGTCAGAAAAGGTCATTTGATGAGAGCAGAACATAGTCAGGAAGAAAAGGAAAATACACGCCTAGAAATAAAAGGGGAGCATGTTGTAGTTACAAACGTGCTTCGCCTTACAAAGTCAGGAACCGTTTCTTTCACATGGACCCACTTACGCTTTTTGGAGGAACGTAGTTTGGGTTTATGCCTTTGGCTATTGAGAGTCGTAATATCCGGGGAGAAGGGCCGGAGAGTTGAAGAGACTCTCTCAGGATTGGATCACTGAAGGGCCTATATGCAAATGAATATAAAATATTATAATCATTAAAGGAACAAGAACTGCATTTTTTTCATCACTATAGTCAACCTCCACACAATTATATATATTGTTTCTACCTTTGGAAGGCCTTTCCCCTTTTCTCGTAATCATTACTGTCCTTTCTACCAGACTGGTGTTTCTCAAAATTTTTCACTTTGATCCACAGTAAGGAGTACATTGTGACACAGTCTATGTAAATCTGTGTTTGAATCTGAAACAAAATTGTCATGAGACAATGCTGGTGCTAGGCAATGTATTCTGATATCTAAAATTTCATTTGATTTCACAAAAAGAAAAGCTGGAACTGATTTCATGACCCACTGGTTAATTGAGACTTGAAGTTTTAACAACATTATTATTAACTGTAATAGTCTTATGTGGATTCCTTAAGATTTCCTCTATAAAAAAATCCTGTCATCTGGAAGTAGAAACAGTTTTACTCTTCCTTTCCAGACGGAGTGCCTTTTCTTTCTCTCTCTTGCCTGTTTCCCTGACCATAGTCTCCAGCGTGATGCCAAATGGAAGTGGCGGGAGCCAATGTCCTTGTCATTCCCCATCTTAGGGCCAAAGCGCTTGGCTTTTCACCACTAACTATGATGTCAGCTGTGGGTTTTTGTAGATGCACTTTTTTCAAGTCGAGGAAGTTCACTTCTATGCCTAACTTGTTCAGCATTTTTACCATGAAAATGAGTTGAATCTTGTCAAATGCTTTTTCTGAGTCTGTTGAAATGATCATGGGGTTTCTGGGAGGGTTATTCTCTTAATTTGGTGTATGTTACATTGATTTTAGTACGTTGTACCAAACAAGCTATATTCCTGGGATAAATCCAACTTGGTCATAGTGTATAATTATTTTATACATTGTTGGATATAAATTAACTTGCTTTTCTATTTGCTAGTAGTTTGGCGTGGATTGTTGCATGTGTATTTGGATTTGGTTTTGCAGCGTTTTGGTATGGATTGTTACATGTATATTCATAGAGATATTATCTGCCATTCTCTTCTTTTATGGCCTTTTCTGGTTTTGGCGTAGGATAATATAGACCTTATGGAATGTGTTGGAAAGTGCCCCATTTTTTGGAAGAATCTGAAGGATCAGTGTTAGCTCTTCTCTAAACATAGCATAGAATTCATCAGTGAAGATACCTGGTCCTGAGCTGTTCATGAGAAGGTTTTTGTGGGTTTTTTTAAAATTATTAATTCAATTTCTTTTTTTTATTATTATTATTATTTTAATTTATCTTTATTGTTGAGAGTATTACAGGTGTCCCATTCCCCCCCCCAATTGACTCCCTCCACTTCGCTCCCACCCCCTCCCCAGGCCTTCACCCCGTTATTAACTGTGTCCATGGGTTATGCATATATGCATATAACTTCTTTGGTTAATCTCTTCCCACCCTCCACCCCCCTTCCCTCTTTCCTCTGAAATATGATTGTCTGTTGCATGTGTCAATGTCTCTGGATCTATCTAGTTCATCAGATTCTTTTGTTCATTAGCTTCTTCTTAAAGAAGACCCTTCAACTTTTCCTGTAGTGCTGGTCTGGTGGTGATGAACTCCTTTAGCTTTT